CCCAATTAGCCAGGAGGCTGATGGAAGCCATCCTCTTGAACCTTCCTGAATGATGAGTATGGCAGCAGCCAGGAATGCAAGGCCAGTTCACACCACATCCAAGTAGGTCTTCATGCTAAGGGTGCTGGCGCTGAAGCCTTTGTTCAGGGTCACACAGATGGTAAATGGCTAAGGTGGTATTGAACTCAGGCCATCTGACTCCAAATCCAGGGCTCTTTCAACTATACCACGACCCAATCCCCTACTTCTACTGAGAAGGAAATAGAGGCCTAGAATTAAAAAGTAGTCGACTTACCCAAGGTCAAGTTAGAAATAGAACCAGGACTAAAACCCAGAGCTTCTGATATGAAATTCAGTGCTTTTCCTATGTTCTATAATCTAACATTATTGCCCAAAGCCATGCAAGCAGGATTTGAAACCAAGCCCTCTGCCTCTAACTCCAATGTTCTCTCCACTGCTCCCAGACTTTGAGGGCCTGGGCTGCCAGAAATAGAACAGGACACACAGCTCCAGAAGCCTTTACCATTTAACCTCTTCCCACATCCTTGGTCCTTCTAAAGAAAGGACTGTTCCCTTGTCCCCAGAGATAGGAGGAGGAAGGAAATTGCTTCCCTGACCTCAATACAGATAGGACAAAAATACTGAAGGATGTTTCCTGAAAGGGGAACCATCATTTTTACGGACAGGAACATCAGCTCTTGGCCCCACTAGTCATGCTGATGATGACAATACCAGCAGGGGGATAGCTGTGCAGCTATTACATCATCCTGGAAAATTCTCTTCTGCTCTGGTGCCATCTTCCCTGAGGCTCTGCTCCTGACCCAGATTCATTGGTTGCAGGATAGTGCTCCCAGCCAAACCTGATGGGAGCTGCACAGATGGAGGCCAGGGACATAGAATCAGGGGGTACATCTATGGGTTAAAGGAAAAGCCTGACTTCAGGCAAGGGAGCAAACAAGGGGCTTCGATTCTAACTTGTCACGTGGCGCTGGGCACATCACCACCTCTGTTTGGCCTTGGTTTCAGAAAGTTCAAAGGCTCAGAGATCTAGAGCCAGAAGGAACTTCAGAAGCTAGCTACCCAATCCCTTCATCTTACAGAGAGATGATGAGGCCCATAAAGTGACTTAAGTGACTTACTTAAGTAGTAAGCATCAGATGCAGGATTTGAACCCAAGTCTTCTGTCTCCATAGCTCATGCCCTTTCTACTGTGCCACCCTCTGGACCTCAGTTTTTCCATCTGAAAAATGAGAGATTGAACTGGGTGACCTCTATGGATCCTTCTAACTCTGCCATCCTTTGATTCTATGATTCACATAAGAACTGTCGGTAGTCCTTTACATGGAGAAACTGAGACCAAGGGGCTAATGGAAGTCATCCTCTTGAACAGACTCATGGATGGGGATAGTGACTGCCAGGAATATAGAAACTGGTTCTTATTGGGGTGTTTCTACATTATGAAAGTGCTGGTTCCCACTTTGTTGAAGGAATGTCTACAACATGAAGTTTCGCACTATGCCAGGGTGATTCTACATAATGGAAATGCTGGTTCCCGTTGTGTCAGAGCAGGGTCTATATCATGAAGATGTCTGGTTCACACTATGTCAGGGTGGTTCTACATAATGGAAATGCTGGTTCCCACTGTCAGGGCAGGGTCTACATCATGAAGATGCCTGGTTCACACTATGTCAGGGTGGTTCTACATAATGGAAATGCTGGTTCCCACTGTGTCAGGGCAGGGTCTACAGCATGAAGATGCTTTTTCACACTGTCAGAGAAGGGACTACATAATGGAGGCATTGTGGCTCCCACTGTGTCAGGGTGGGACCTACATAATGTAGGTGCTGGTTCACACTGTGTCAGGGAAGTTTTACATGCCTAGTGAAAAAGGGTTTTTCCTCTAGAGTTTCCAGTATCTACTAGCTTTGGGCATGATCACCTGTTGTGGAAGAGTAAAGCAAAACCACCTCAGTGCCTTGCTTCTGAAAACACGGTTAGCCACAACAAGCCATTGTCCTTTGCAGCCATAATGTATTCTCTCCTACAAATGGCCTTTTATTTAATGCTGTGATACTATTGCAGGTTTTCAGTTCTATATCTCTATTAATACCAAGCATAGGGGCACTGTATACAGTGGGTGTTTAATAGATGTCGATCGATTTGAAGAGTTTGTTAACTTAGATGTTCTCTGGCACAGCACTGCAAGGAAATGGAATACAATAGAAAGAGTGATGGATTTTGTGTCAGAAGACCTGGGTACAAATACTAGCTCTGTCAATTACTACTTCTGCCATCTTGAACAATTCACTTAACCTCTCTTTTTCTCAGTTTCCTCATCTGTATATTGATGGAGTTAGACCAGATGACCGCCGAAATCCCTTCCAAAAGCAATTAGGTGGCACAGTGGATAGACCACAGCCCTGGAGTCATGATGACCTGAGTTCAAATCTGACCTCAGACTAGCTATGTGACCCTGGGCAAGTCACTTCACCCTGTTTCCCTCAGTTACTCATCTGTAAAATGAGCTGGAGAAGGAAATGGCAAACCCCTCCAGGATCTTTGCCGAGAAAACCTCAAATGGGAACCCAGAGAGTTGGACATGACTAAAACAAGAACAAAAAACCAACAAAATCCCTTCCAGTTCCAAATCTATGGTCCTATGAATATTTAGAAAATCAAATGTATTCACATCATTTTTGACAGAGTAATTTAAGAAAAACATTGCCTCCTTTACCTAATCACCAGGAATTCACACCCCTCTCACTTTAGCTCAAAATTAGAGAAAGTTTTAGCTCATTACTTCTACCATACCCACGTGTATCAGATTCATTGAGTACTTGAATGTCTGATCTTTGAGGACCAAGGGCCCCCAGGCCAAATAACTAAGGAAGATGGGGGCTACATGGATCAGACCCAGTATGCCCACCAAAGAAGAAAGAGAAACATGTTACCTAGCAGTGGACCGCAAAACCCAGTGTCCCAGATGTTAATGAAGATGAAGAAGAGGAAATGAAATGTTGGCCCTGGTGTGCCTTCAGTGTGGGCCTGGTCCTTCTCCTGCTTGGAACAAGAAGAAGGGATCAGGTTAATCTACACTCTCAATAGTCAAATCTGAATGGAATACTCAGCAGAATTTGTAATCTGATCAAACGCAGAGATCCCAGGTCAAAGCCATAACTCCCAGACTGTCATAACAATTTCAAACATTGGTAAGAACCCAGAGCTCTTCACCTAGTCATTGTTGAGGTGAGCCTCAGGATGAAAGACAGTAAACAGGGATGTTAGATTTGCCCTGGTGTTCTTGTTCATCCTCCACTAATATTTTCCTCCAATTCTTCCCCGAAGGCTGCCTGTCCTCAGAGAGCTTTCAAGACAGACCTCAGTCTCGAGGAGCTCACATTCTAACGTAGGAGGGTTCAGCTACAAGGCATATGGAAAGGCCCTGTGGTCTTTAAGGTCTGGTAATCAAAGCAGCAGGACAGATTATAAAGTCCCATGAATCTTGTTTAGCAACAACAGGACAAACGGTCCCCAACCAATAGGTACCGGAAAGGAGGGAGTGGCCCCAAGAGCTAGAGCGGGTACACATCTGTTATGCAAGGACCAGTTAAGCTTGGTGCCCCCCAAGTGCTGGCCTTCAAATGACAAACATTCTGTAGCCTCGGCAACTCATTAAAGCTGTCTTGGTCTCAGGGATTGCGGTCTTGTTGGGGGGGGGGTGGTGAGGAGGTGGTGGTGAAGAAGGGGGGAAGGTGGTGGAAGAAGAAAACATCCAGTCACATGTAAATTCAAAACAAGCCTCAAGGCCAAATATCAATTTGGGGATTATCCATGCCTCTGCTGCTCTCCCTAACTGTCATTAGCCAAACATCCCAACGTGTTCTTTTATGGAAAAAAGGTGATGGTGAGCTCCCTGGGTCATAGTCAGGCTGGGGGTGGGGAGTATACTGGCACTAAAGATAGTTTTCTACTCCTCATTCCCAATTCTGGGGCTCAGATGGGTGCAGTCTCATCGGCTAAGACTTCAAAGCCCAGGATGACCAGAATCTTTTCCATCTCCCTATCTCCTGGGGCAATGGGGCCTCCTACATGCCCCATCCCCCAAATTCTGCTCTGGCAGGCTAGATTTTGTGCAAACACCCACAGAAAGAATGAGATACACACAGTGACAGAAATGACTGCCCCAACTAGGGGATGCATGAACATGCATAATGTCTCATAAACAAGAGAGTAGAGTCTGCAAGTTGCAGAAAGAGCAGATATGGGTTCAACATGAAGAAAACCTTCTGAACAACTAGAGTGGCCCCAGATGAGAATAGACTGACTTGGTAGGCTTCAGGACCACAAGCATCGGAGAGCCAAAGCTGAAGGGGACCTTAGAGGTTCCAACCTCCTTATTTCACTTGCAAGTCAACACATCACCCTCCGGAGGATACTGGTCCTCTTCGAGAATGAAGGACCGATGACACAACAACAAGGAAGCAGGGACCTAGAGAATCAGAATGACGTAACTGAGGCCTCGCGTCCAGTGAGCACCAAAGTGAGGATCCAAACCCGTCTTCTGACTCCAGAGTTTCCCATCCCCCAAGGCCTTTGAAGTAGATGCTGGGTGAACACTTGTTCAGAATGTTGGAGAGGGAATTCCTGCTTGGAAACAGGTTGGACTAGATGACCTCTGAGGCCCCTTTGGGCTTCTGGCCTCGATCCTGCTTGATGTCTTTGTTCCCATCAGATGGGCTGATGATGTCATATATCACTATCCCTGGTCACACGCCAGAAAGTCTGGACACTTTCCTCAAAGACCCTGAGATCCTCAGGGACTCCCGAAGGCCCCTAAAAGGAGGTGTTCCATCCATCATGTTGTCATTGCTGTAACGACGCAACTTGAGAAGGTGATTCCCTATCCTTGGGCTTGTGGACCTGCCATAGACAGTCACCTATGGGTTGATCAGTGTTTCTGGGCACTCGATACTCTGGAGAGGAGTCAACCCTGGGTAGACTGCAGAGGTTGACACTTGTCATTTTGATGTGACAAACCACAGAGTATCCACAGCACAGGGATGATTAAGTGCTTTGAGGAAAGTTGAGCCCATCTGGAAATTATCAAAAGCTGCTGGTGAAATGGTATAAGGGGAGTCAGAAATAACTGCCCAAGGGATGGGAAACCTGCTCTGTATTAGGAGCAGCTAAACTACCCAAAAAAATCCACGGAGGATTACTTTGACAAGAATCTTTTCTTTCTTTCTTTCTTTTTTTTGCTTAAAAGAAGTACACACAATCTTCTATTCACCCAGTTTTTAACTAAGAAGGTAAGGTATCCTGGAGCAATAGAAATGATACTAGAGCGGTGGGGGCCACAGGAGCAGAATACTGGATATGCTGCCAATTGCAGTTGTTTTGTTGTTGATTTTCTTAATTATTTTTCTTTATTACAAGGGAGGACCTAATGGGTTGAGGTATATTGGGAAACAACTGAGGCAGAAAACACAAACATAGTATCAATAAAATTTAAAATAGAAAACAAAGAACATTGGACTAGGAATCAGGAGCACTAGTTCAAGTAAGAATTATCTTGGATAAATGACTTCATCTTTATCGGCCTCTATTTTTCATCTGTAAAATAAAGGAGGAGTAGAGAAGAAAGAATATTGTCTTGGAAGACATTAGCTCCAGTCTCCAGCTCTGCCACTGACCTTCCATATGACCTTGGGTAAGTCATTTCCCTTCCCTGGGCCTCAGTTTAGCTATCTATAAAATAAGGGGATTGCATTAGATAGCTTCTGAGCAACTCCACGATCTCTAAGGGCCCTTCTAGCTCTGACATTCTATGACTGCATGAAGCTCCACTAAAATAATATATTTCAGCGAAGGAATGGAAATTAACAAGGGGAGTGGGTAGAAGAGAGTAGAAACGATGTGCAGAAAATGCAAAGATAGGGCAAGAGACAGAAGGAGAGATGGATATGAACATAGAGAGAAACACAGGGACGCCACATATCCAAGAAAATACGAACACAGAGATGCACACAGATGCACACAAGACAGAGTGACAGGGATGCCTGCAGAGACTCAAAGTGGGGGAAAAGCCCCAGATACCTACACAGCCTCTCACGCAGTAACAGCCTTGTCTTGTGGACTCAGTCTATGGCAGCTAAAGTTCTATGGTGCACATTCATAACTATCGGCATAAATAAGGATCATATTCCTAACACTTGTTGCGTGAAGTCACGTGAAGGGCTGGATCCGGGCTGTGGATCAGAAGGTCTTCAGTCTTGTTCTGTTGCCATCAACAAGCAGCAGACTCATAAGCAAAATGACATGGGAAATGCTACTTACTTCACACCTCCATTATGGAGGTATTTAAGCAGAACTGCCTGGCTAAATGTTGGAGATACTAGACAAAGAAGAAATACTTTGGGTAAAACTTTGACAAAATGCCTTCTGAGGCCTCCTTTAGCTCAAGGATCCTAGATTTATAAATACCTGCATCAGTAGAATTCGACATATACAGAGGCTTCAAGGTAAGAAGTTTTTGAGCTACCTGTTGAGCTACCCTACCATCCTTCTACTGAAATCGGGTATCTATAGTATCATGCGTGGGCCATTCTCCTGTCACCTTGTTCCTTCTATGCTTCTGAAGCAAATATGTCCTGGAGGAATTGAGCTACTCCTTTTTTTTTTTTTTTGGTTAGGCAGTCAGGGTTAAGTGACTTGCCCAGAAGCACACAGCTAGTTAAGTGTCAAGTGTCTGAGATTTGAACTCAAGTCCTCCTGACTCCAAGGCTGGAGCTCTATCCACTGTGCCACCTAGCTGCCCCTATTGAGCTACTCCTGATAAAGTTTTAGTCGCTTGCTGTAACTCTAAAAAGAAAAGAGCCAATCAAGTATCCTCACCACTCCCTTCATTCAGTCTTCTACATCCTTACTCTGTACTCAGACTGAGCTCAGGCTATGACCTCTTCCTCATACATTTCTTCTTCTGATCTCCTCTTTTTCATGAAATGTTCCCTAATCACCTGCAAGTGAGATGATGCTATGTTTTCCCTCATCTCCTTTGTTGCCTTCCTACCACATTTTGATAACCTATAGTTGTCCACAAGCAGAACAAGCAGGCTCGACAGACAGATGCAATGTGGTACAGTGGTTAGGGTGAGACCTGGAGACAGGAAGATCACGCTGAAATGGTGTGACTGGGGTAAGCTGAGCCTTAGTTTATTCATCTGTGAAATGGGGCTACCACTGTAGTGACAGGATAACATTGGGTAGAGGGTGGTCTTAGGCAACTCACTTAACCTTTGCATCAGTTTCCTCAACTGTAAAATGGGGATAATAATAGCACCTACTTCACAGGTTCTTGTGAGATTTAATGAGATAATATTTGTAAAGCACTTATCACTGTGCCTGGCACATGGAATAAATGCTTGTTCCCTTTTTTCCCCTTTGTTATGAGGTTCAAGTGAGATAAAGTAGAGAAAGAAAGCACTTTGTAAACCTTTAAGTCCTACATAAATGTCATATATTTTTATTTCCCCCAGTTAAGTGGAAATTTCTCAACAGCAGGGACTGTTTCATTTTTGTCTTTGTATGTCTAGTGCCTAGCACATTACATATAGTAAGTGCTCAATAAATGCTTGTTGAACTGAAAAGACAGTGAGTTCTCTATCACTAGAGGTATTCAAATAGAGACTGGCTAGCTACTTGTTTGGAGATGTTAGAAAAAGGAGATACACTTTGGGTAAAAGCCTTCTGAGGTCCCCTTTAGCTCTAGAATCGAGGTTTATAAATAATGAGCTATTTAATATATGCATGGCTACAATTCCACATATACATATTTCCTCTGTTGAGACTTACCTGTTTTGACCTTGTCTGTTTGCTACTGAAAGTATCTAAAGCTCAACGTATTCTGCTTGCTTTGTACAGCAATTAACATCGCCTCTTGCCCAGGTGGATTCTCACTACAAACTTTTTCACAACGGTGATATTTCAATGTGGTTGACAATTTTATCGTGGATTTTATAGGAGAGAATTAGACCACATCTGGAATTCAGTTCTGATTACCACCTTTAAACAGAAACATTGAGCGTGTCCAGAAGGGACAAACCAAAGCAGAGAAAGGTATCAAAATGGTACCAGGATCAGCTGAAATAACCTGGAGACAATGCTTAGAGAAGAGTAGACTACAAAGGGGCACATGTGAGCTATCTGAGTAGTTGAAGATCTTTCCTCTGGAAGAGATACTAGACCTTTTTGCTTATCCCCAGAGAAAACTAGAAGCAACAGGAGAGAAAGTGACAGGGTGGCAGATTTCAACTCCATCCTGGAGCACTTTTTAACAACTGGAGCTTCCCCAGCATGGAATCAGCTACCGCCACAGGAAGTGAGTTTCCTGTCATTTGCAGTGCTCCAGATGACTACTCATCAGGGATGCTGTCGAGGGACTTGTGTATCAGGCAACATGACCTCGATGGGTTGCTGACTCTCGTGAAATGCCACTCCAGCAACATGAAAGTCCCATCCAGTCTTACGTGACTGTGTTGGTTTTTTATTTCAGGTGGCGTGATGGCTCTGAACAGAAGCCATGTTCGGAAATAGCTCCTGTGCCAACTTGAAGTTTCCACTGACTCCTCATGGTCTGCATGAGTGGGGAGATTAATGAGACTCAGGATTCAAAAAATAGTACTCAGAGAAGCTAAAAATGTCTGCGCCCAGGACCTTAAATAGTCCCAGGGGTACAAAGGCATTTTTTCAAAATGTTCCCCATTCACCCGGAGCCCCTCATGTCAAATGCCAAGTTAAATCTGTCTCCCAGGAAACTTTCTTTGTTCAGTTCACCCTAAATGCATCAGATGCACTGTTTCCAAAACAGGAAATGCTAGTGATTTATGCATTTTTTTACTTGTTGTCACCCCATTGCCTTGCATATATGTCTGTAACTTGAGGTGAACAGAGAAAGCAAAAGGGAAGGAGTAAGCCAGGGTTCTTGTTTCCTTTTGCTTGTAAATAAAGCTTTGCTTTTATTCTAAAAGGAAGAAGAAGCCAGCAAAAGGAAACAAGAACACACAAAAACAGAAGCCATACTAGATGCTTTGCATTCTGTGGATCAACCTAGAGGCTTCCCAGTGACAGCGTCGGGCTGGGTGCTGTCCCATTCTGGCTACAGCTATTCTCTCTTAGCTGTGTCGTTCGCCAGAGTACAATGATTGTTGTCGTTGTAGCTCCCATTTACACAGGGCTTTAAACTTTACAGAATGATCTCTTCACAATAACCCTGTAAGGTAGGTAGTGCAAACAGTTTTAACCCCATTTTGCAGATGAGGATCAGAGAGATGATGCCATTTGTCCAAGGTCACACAGCTACAAACTGTCAGAGAAGGTCTTGAAGCCATGTCTTCTTTATCTAAGTTCAGTGCTCTGCCTTTTATGTGATTATTCCTTCTTGGGAAGCCCCACTTTTTTTTTTCCAAATTAAATTTTATTCTTTTCAAGGAACAAAAATCAAGTGTCTCTCCCTCCCACCCAATCTCACTGGAAAGAAGAGAAAACAATAACAAAACCAAAACTCTTGTAATAAGTATGTGTAGTCAAAAAAAATGTCCTGTATTAGCAATCTCAAAAAAAAAATATGCCTCATTCTGTACCTTAAGTCCATCACCTCTCTGTCAGGAAGTGAGCAGCATGCTTTATCATTGGTCCTATAGAATCATGCTTGGTCATTGCACTGATCAGTGTTCTTAAGTCTTTCAAGTTGTTTGTTTTTATAGTGTTTTTGTTATTGTATAAATTGTTCTCCTGGTTCTGCTCATTTTACTCTGCATCTTCATACAAGCCTTCCTAGGTTTCTCAGAAACCTCCCCTTTTATCATTTCTAATGGCAAGATATTATTTGCTTCTCGTCTATGTTGTCCTTCACTTCGGTGTGTTCACATTTCCAAGGCACGGTTCTCTCTTTGGTTTCTTTGGTGAAGCTTGCCATTGCAGATTCCAGTTTTTCTATTCTGTCCATCATCTTTGTTGTGTACGACATAAATTCTGCTCTCATAATTCTCATTTCTCTTTTGAACCACTGAGGAACAGGGTTATGTGGTTCCCTGAACTCCTCAAATTCCAAAGGATCCTCCATTTCATCATGTTGTATCATGTTTAACGTAGACTCCTGAACTTTGCTATTAGATCTGGAATCCACAATACCTCTGTGGCTATCGTTTTTCCTGTTGACTTATCTGCTTACGTTTTCTTCTTCCTAAAAGCGGATATTTCAGGCTTTTTCCCTCTTATTTTCCTCTCCGGCTCACATTCTAATTCCCTCTCCTCTAACTATGGCTTCCTTTGGGGCTAGATCTCAGTGCATCTCAGGCTTTCCACACTAGGCAGTGGGTGGTCAGAACTGACCCTAGCTGGATGCTGTGCTCGTTTCCTCAAGCTTAGCAGAGTGTCATACCACCTCGGCCTCTTCCCTATCCACCCAGAGTGTCCTGTCTTGGTTCCTTGTCCCACTCCCACTTTCCTTAGTTCTTTGGACCAGCACTGGTTTTTCAGAGCTCTGCAGCACCAGTGCTATAGGGCTGTGGGCCCCAGCAGGCTTTTGTTCCAGAGAAGCTGTAGCGTCTTTGGCCGCCTGTCATGGTCAAGACCAATTTATGAAGGCTGGAGGCAGGGTCTCCATAGCACTGGAAAGAGGGAGAGGGGACCAGTGTGTCGGGATGGGTTTTGTTGTAAGCCTATGTTGTGCCTTAGGGTTTGCTAATATGGCCTCATTGCTGGTAGTGTGGGAGATGGGGTAGGGATGCTGAGTGAATTCAGAGTCAGTGAACATCAGTTTACGGATCTGGAGGGCTTTTTCAAACCTTCTTTTAAATTCTGGACATCCTTGACCATGGAGACGGCTGAAGTTGCTTTATCTTTGGCAAATAACTTCTGTTTTGGAGAGGTCTGAGAAGTTGTGGGATCAGAGGAAATGTTTAGTTCTCTGTCTTTTGTTGCTCATGGACCCAGGACAGCGGCAGGACAGTGTTCTAGTATATTCACAAGCCAACATTTCTTTAGACACTGCTCAATGGATGCCATCCCTCCTAGCTCTTGAAGACCACAAAAAGAGCCCTATAAATATTCTTATACATATGGGTCCTTTTCTGCTTTCTCTGATTTCTTTGGAAGCCTCATTTTCTCCAAATGTTTTATCAGTAGCTCTAAAGACCACAGAGTTTTCACTTCTCTTTCTTTGGCTCCATCCCCAGGCATAAAAATCCACCCTGTTGTGATTATTCTGCTATTAGCTCCAACCCCAGGGGAATTCACTTCCTTCTGAGGCTGCTCATTCCATTCTTGGGCAGCTCTAATGGTTAGAAAGTTCTTTATATTAAGCTAAAATCTGTCTTCCTGTTACTGAGATTGGGAGAGAAAGTACACAGCAAATGGAGACAGTACAGGGCACTGACTCTGCAGTGAGGAGAGCTGGGTTCAAATCCTACCTCTGACATTTACCACCCATGTCACCTTAGGCAAGTCACTCAACCTTCTTGGGTCTCTAGGTGGACTCTGAGATCACTTCCAGCTTTGTATCTCACATCCCATGAGTGAAAGGTATTCTGCCATGCATCCCTAAGGGATGAGTTTTAACTTATCTGTTAATTAATTATTCTAAGAATTCAAGGGTAAGAGTATGTAAACTACTAAAAGGTATATTTCTGTTCAACAGAAAGGCAAACTTTCCAACAATTAGATCTGTCTCAAAGTGGAAAGAAATAGAAGTTCTTAATAAGTAGTGAGTTCCTCATCACTGGAAGTCTCCAAGCAGAGGCTTGAAGTAGATGACCACATGTTAAGGCTGTAATAGAGGGCATTCATGCTATACTAGAATACTGGGTCACCTCTCAGATTCTTCCAATTCTGAGATTCTGTGATTCCACGACCTGTTCTATATTCATTTCAGGCTGTACAATCTGGTTTTGCTACTATTAGCTGCAATAATTATTATTATCAGCATTTATATAGCGCTTCAAGGTTTGTAAATCACTTTACAAATGTTATTGCAATTTATCCTAGGAAGTGGGTACTATTATTATTCCCACTGGACAGATGAGCAAAGTGAGACAGACAGAGGCTGAGTGACTTGCCCACGGTCACACAGTTAGTAAATGTTTAAAGCTATATTTGAACACAGGTCTTCCTGATTCCGGGACCAGAGCTATATCCACTGTGCCAACTAGTTGGAAGGATAAAGTGACTAAAGGGTGAAAACTGAGCTTCCTGGTTGTGGAGGCTTTGTTTGGGAAGGAGGGAGGCTACCTAAACAGAAGGCTCTAGATGAGGCTCAGGATGACATCCCTTGTTCCCAGAGGCTGAAATGAAATAAGATCTATGCTGCCAACCCTTGCTGTCACTCAGCTAAGTGGGGCACCTGAACACTTGTTCACAGGTTGGTTCATTCCTTTATCTGGTCCTCAAATACTTATTATTCAAAGCTGAAAGGGGAGCCCCAAGTTTTAGACCATTTTACTTTTCATTATAAAGGCAAGTAGGTGTGCTGCCTACACACACACACACACACACACACACACACACACACACTATTCCTCCTGAGCCTGGAATTTTTACTTCTCAAGGAAACCACCCCATCCTTGGTTCTCTCTCTTCCCCTTCTCTCTCTCTCTCTCTCTCACTCCCTCCCTCTTTCTCTCTCCCTCCCTGACTCCTTCTCTCTCTCTCTCTCTCTCTCTCTCTCTCTCCTCTCTCTCTCTCTCTCTCGCCCTACCCCCCCAACGCTGTTTCCCGCCCCCCCCCCCGTTCTTCCTCTGGCTGCTTTTGTCTTTGCATTCATCACCCAGTCCTCTTTTCTGTGGATGTGCCCCTCCCGGGCCTATTTTTACCACCTGTTTCGGGGTTTATTCTTGATCCAGCATCTTTCTCATTGTTTAAAGCGTCCCATGCTTGCTGACCAGCCTGTGCTGGGGCAGAAGCATGGCCAGGCTTTGCTAGCTGGCCGCTGAGATTTTTCCTGTTCTGTACTGTTCTTTCGCTAGTCCTGGCTGAGATGAGCCAAGGACAGACTTTCTCCCTTTCCTGGCTTGTTTCATACCATCTGTAATCCCATGCTTGGGGTCCTCTCTTTCTCTAACTCCTGCTTGCCTAAAGATTTTTACATTCTACCAAGCTTCCCCTTATCTCTAAAATCACACATTCTTGTGGAACCTCCAAATTTGCAAAGGATTCAAGTCTAGGAGTTTGGAGATCTGGGTTCTAGGGACAGATTAGTCTCTAACCTTACGAATTCAGATTAGAGGGGAAAAAAACATTACTTGGCAGGGAGAACATTACTTCTGTCTGGCTCTCAGTTACTCCATCTGTCAAATGGAAGGTTTAGATTAGATAACCTGAGTCTTTTCAGACCTGACATGATATCTTCCTAACTTCATCCAAACTTCTTTTACATTTCAACTCTCCTTCTCATTTTCCATTTTTCACTTTCTCAACCAAACGATTCTCTTTGGGAGTTGGAGGAAATCTTAGTGATAATTTAGTCCAACACCCTCATTTCATGGCAGAGAAAATGAAGCTCAGAGAAGGGAAGGGCCTTAGCCCATAGATACAACTATCAGGGGGAAATAAAAACTCTGTCTCAGGGTGCTGACATTGGGGAGGGGTGCTTCAGCCAACATCCCTTTGCCAAGCTGCACTCTTACGCTGTGTGACCATCCCTGGGCCACCACCCTTGGGGTCTGGCTACCTTCCCAGGGCCTGCCTTCTCCCAAATCCCCTTAGTATGGGACAGACTCTGGGGGATGGGCTGGCTACCCCTTCTCAGCACAATCCCCTCTCCAGCCAGACAGTCCTTCGAGCACCACAGCCTCCCCCCTGCCCTCACAGCAGGATTTACCCCCGGCATACAGACCTGTTAACCATCAACTAGCTAGTAGGGAGGGGCATGGAGAATCAAACCTGGCCCATAGGACTTGTGCTTATCCAGTTGTCTTTCTAAATTTCAGAGATTACTATTATTAGTCTGTCCTACTTACTGATCAAGGGCAGCTAGGCAGTGCAGTGGACAGAGTACTGGGTGTGGAGTCAGGAGGACCTGGGTTCAAATCTGACATCGGACACTCTCTACCTGTGTGACCCTGGGCGAGTAAGTCTCCTGACCTCTATTTGTCCCAATTTCCTCATCTGTAAAGTGAGGATAATAACAGCACCTCCCTCTGAGGGTTGTTATGAAGATCAAATGAGATGATAGCTGTAGAGTCCTTAGCACAGTGCCTGGGCACATAGTAGGTGTTGTTTAAATGTTAGCTATTTTTATATAGTGATAACACGAATTAGCTGCACTTTGCCAGGAAATGTGGGTTCTTAGATCACATGCCTCTGAAAAATGCTTGACTGACTGACTGAGAAGAACCTGCAAACCCTGGCTGAATTGTAGAAATAGTACATTATCTCCGATGACCCATGGCACCGTAGGTAGCATGACAGACTTGGAGTCAGAAAAATCTAAGTTCAAAACCAGCTTCTGGACACTTACTGAGTAAGCCACTTAATAGCTCTCAGCCTCAGTTTCCCCATGTGTAAAATGGGCATAATAACTGTACCTACTTCACAGCATTGAAGTTGATGTGAGATAATGCAAATGAGATAATGCAAATCTTAAAATGCCAAATAAGTATCAGACATTAGCATTACTCCCATTTACAGAGAAGTCACCTGCTATGTCTTCCACATTGCTGGGGGCCCCTGAGGACCTCCAACCCTGAAGAATAAATGCAAACCAGCAGATTGGGGGCGCCTATCTCTTTTTAGCTTGGATGATCTCTTAGGGCAGTGATAGCAAACACTAAAAAACTGGTGGGTGCACTAAACTGTACATAAAGATCCCTGGAGACCACATATTGACTGAGAAAACCACATATTAACATTACCTATGTTCTACTTAATTTTGATTTAATTTTGTTAAATATTTCCTAATTACATTTTAGTCTGGTTCAGGCCTCAACTGAGAGTATTGTGGGCCTCACACTGCCTGTGTTTGACATCTATGTTTTAGGGGCTTTCAATTCTTTTATCATATCCTATTGTTTTTATCCATTTTCTACAGAATCTTGAGAAATCACTAAGGTCTGCGCCTTGGGCACAGACATCACCCGGAGGGGCATTCTCCACTCAATTGGCCTGCTCAGCTCAGCTCCTGGACACTGCAGGAAGAAAGAACCACACAGGAGACCATTCACTGCCCTGACGGCCACCTTGTCTATGAGTAATATTGAAGGTTCAACGTCCTCCCACATTAGTAAAGCCGACAGGTCAGCAGTCTGTGATGGGCTGTGGCTTCAATGCTCTCGTCTGAAGCCCAGGGATCCAAGATCCTGTCTCTGACTTCAGATGAAACAGGATAATTTTGGAGAGTCCCTATGACATTTGCAAAGTGTAAAGTATCAGACTTTTTCTTCTAGGTCTCTGCCAAATAATACTTCAAACTAAAACTCCTTGCCTACAGACTTGCTTCAGCAAGCCACGCATTTTAGAAACTGCAGTGTTGCTGTGTCTGGAACTGGCCAAAGGCTTGCAGGACCCCGTGTGGCGGACCCCTGAGCTTCATCACCCCCGTGTCTCACTCCTTCTAGGATGCTGCTGCCAGGTTGCTTCCATGTCAGACTGTGGGGGCAACAGGACCCCATACAGAGGGACAGCATGAACCCCATCCATGGATGGAACAACCTAAATTTAACTCGAGATAATAGAAAATCCTTGTCCGCTGAATGATCCAAGTGGACGGTACATTCTTTCCACCGAGGAAACAGCATTAGTCCTTTGGGGCTGAGAGAGGCTGACAGGGAGAGCCTTGGCGGTAGGGGGAAAGGAGGAGGGGAAGAATTCTAAGTGGGCTTGGGCAGCTATTCCATCCGTCTCTCAAGCTGTTGCCCTTTGAGATTCCCTTGAACTCAAGTAAACCATAAATCCCAATGAAGGGTTTCCACTGATTGTAATTATCCAGGCTTGCTGACCTGAAAATGCCCCTTGACTCCTCACTTTGCCTTCCACAGATCTGACCATGTCATTCCCTTACTCAAAATACAGAATGTTTCTATTCTGAATAAACATACAGAATTCTCACCCTGGCACTTAAAAACCTTCACTAGCTTCGACCTTTCTTTCCTGTTTTGTTTCATATGACTCCTCTTCGTGCATTTTCCATTCCAGTCAAACTGGCCTACTATGTGCCCTGAGCATACCATTCATCTCCAGCCTCCCCGCCTTTGTATGAGTGGTGCCCCATGTTTAGAATGCACTCCCTCTTCACCTCCATCTCATGGGATCCCTCAGGTGACCCCCTCAGGAGCACCCTCTCCCTCTTCAATTTGCTGACATTACTTTGACTATAATCCACAGTCACTTGTGCACATTTTGCACCCTCCAACATAGAGTGTAAGCTCCCGGAGGGCAGGCACGGTTGCGTTTTCTTCCCTTAGTATCCCCAGCACCTACTACAATGCCAGGTACACAGTGAAGTGCTTGATAAATTCTTATTGAATTTCACTGAGTTTCAGAAGGGGCTGTGACAAAGGCCGTTACCAGGGTTATTGCAAAGAATCTCAGCAGAAAGCTCACGTGCTCAAGACCGAAGACAAGCGAGAGTTTGGAGGGTGAGAGAGGGTGAGGGAGGGCCCAGCCTTCTTGTGCAGCCTGCCCCTTCAGCCAGGCTTCCAGGAACTCTCCCTTTGCAGTGATTGTGGGCAAAACCTTGGCATCACCACAACATAGCTAACATTCATATGGTACTTTAAAGTTTTCTAAAAATGCTTTGTACTCTTCACCTCATTTAATTTGCAAAAACAACCCTGAGCCATAGGTGCTGTTGCTATCTCCATTTTACAGATGAGGAAAACTGAGGGTTAGTGAGATGAAGCAGCTTGGTCAGAGGTGAGATTTGAACCCAGGCCTTCTGGACTCCAAGGCCAGCACTACATCCACTGCCTCCCTCTGGTCTCTGGGCAGACTTAGCCTGCTCTGTGAGTTGGACAGGTGGGCTGTAGATTTCCCTCTGGCCCACTGAGGGCCCTGAGAGGAGTGCCCATGTGGGAGGGAAGAAGAAAGGGAGCTTGGTCACCTGAGTCTATGTGGCCCTTTTCTGTCTGCTCAGAGCTGCCCACAAGAGGCTTGAGGCTTGGCACAAGTTGAATAAGAGGTACATAGTAGGTGCTTTGCACGTAGCAGTGATTACCAAATGTTTGGGCTAAGTTGAATTGAATTCAAGGTGGCCACTTCACTGAATATTTTCTGTATTAAATGGTATGGTTCACACCAGGAATATATAGACTCATACTAACCAGGTACGTCCTCCTAGAGCTTAGTCATTCCTTTCTGTCACTAGGAGAATGCACCTGAAACACTCTCCATTATGCTAAGGGAAATCACCAAGGTACACATGCCACCGCACTCCAATCCATGCAAGAGACAAGACAGCCTGTTGATCTCACCTTGCTTCTCTGACGTTGCTACCCCGCCGGTCCCTACTCTCCTCACCTCATGTCTGGACAGTTGTAATAGCCTGAGGGTGGGTCAGCCTGCCCATCCACCCTTCAAGCCATTCTCCATCCAGCCACCAAGGGGATTTTCCTAAAGCCCAGGTCTGATCACGTCACACACTCCTCCACTCAGTAAACTCCAGTGGCTCCCTGTGAGTCCAGGATCAAATACAAAGCCCTTGATTGGCGTTCATGACCTTTATAACCTCTCCAGTCTTCTTACATTCAACCAAGTACTCTTTGATCCCGTGACACCGGCCTCCTGGCTACTGGGCAAACGAGACCGCCCATCTCTCAGCCCTGGCCGCCCGGAACGCTCTCCCTCCTCTGCTCTGACCACTGACTTCTCTGGCTTCCTTTCAGTCCCAGCTAAAATCCCATTTCTACAGGAAACCTTTCCTAACTCTTCTTAACTCCAGGGCTTTCCCTCTGTTAACTATTTCCTATTTACCCTGTATATTGCTTGCTTTATATATATTTGCATGTTGTACCCCTCCCCACTAAATTATAAGCTCCTTGAGGGCAGGGACTGTCTGCTTTTCTCTGCACCCCTAGTGCTTTAGCACAGTGCCTGGCACATAGTAGTCTCTTCAATCAATGTTTATTAACCAAATAACTATAGTAGCATGCACATACATGTATGTGTGTATATACATACATACATACGTACATACAGAGAGAGTGTGATCACATAGTAACTATTCAGTAAATATTTATTGACTGACTCCTCTATAAAATGGGATTCCTCGGATCACGAACTTAGAACTGAAGCCTCCCAACCCCTCATTTGTGAGATGAAGAAACAGAGACATTAAAAACCTAATGGTAGATCACATGGTGCCTGAGCTAGGATTTGAATCCAGGCCCTTGGACTCCAATCCAGCATTCTCCACTGTACTGTGCTGCCTCTAACATGAATGGCACTACGCACACCATCTCATGGTGAGGTTTGAACAGGATAGAACATGTTGTGGTCTGTAAAGTTAAAGAAATGTCATCCTGAAGTCATCTGGAGCCTCTCAGTGCCCACAGTACCCTTCTAAGGGACGATGAAGACAGCCTCCTAGAGTCCGATGTAGGGTTTCACCCTCTAGCTTTCTGTAGATGATAAACAAGACTGTTCCCTTCAAACAAACCAACCACCCAGGACAAAAAGAGCGGGACCCAGGAGGACCCAGACAGCTGTTCTTTAATACACAAAATAATCCCTGAGATGAGCTCCCATGGCCAGATTTAAGCACTAGAGCTTTAGAAATGCCATGAGAACATCCTTATCGGAATCTCAGCCTGTCCCGCTGGAAGAGACCTTGGGAAACATCAAACCCAACCCCCTTTGACAAGGAAGCTGAGGCCCAGAAAGGATGGGGGGAAGAAGGGTAGCAACTTGTCTGTGAGTTAATGAAAGAACAAGGATTAAAATCTCCTCTGAACCCCCAGGCCCATCAGGGTTTATTCGATCACACCATTTTGTCGATCAGTAAAGGAAAGCTGAAAGACAGGCTTATATAGACCTGGAACGAACCTTAGGAAAGAATACTGACTCTCAGGTCAGAGGAGCTGGGTTCAAATCTTGTCTCTGATACTTGCTGCCAAGTGACCTTGGACAAGTCATTCAGTTTTCTCATTCACAAAATGGAGGGGGGAAGGGTCTGGAACAGAGAGCCTCTGAGGATCCTTGTGGTTCTCGATTTATGAGCCTATGAACCAAATCACCTCATCCAACTCCCTTATTTTACAGATAAGGAAACTGAGGCCCAGGGATGCCAAGGGACTTGGCCTTCAGGTCACTCTGGTAGTGAGGTGTGGAACTGCGACACAAACCCAGGCTTTCTAACCAGTGCTCCTTCCCCCACCTACAGTATGCTTTTTCTCTTACACTCACGACTTTTGAAGATAACATGAAAGGCAACTCCCAAGCTTTCTCAAAAAATGCCCCTTTGTCTCACTGTCAAAAAGGGAAGCCTCAGAAGAGCTAATTGTTGCTCTGTGGTGTCTGACTCTTCATGACCCCATTTGGGGTTTCCTTGGCAGAGATAACCGAGCGGTTTGCCATTTCCTTCTCCAGCTCATTTTACAGATGAGGAAACTGAGGCAAACAAGGTGAAGTGACTTGGTCAGGGTCACACTGCCAGTAAGCATCTGAGGCTGAACATGGACTCGGGTCTCCCTGACTCCAGGCCTGGTGCTCTACTTCATATCTTTATCTCATCTCATATTATCAGCTTTCTTTTCAGGTGTGTATGTCTTATCTTCCCTCCCTGATACTGATGTCTTAGCTCTCCTCGTATTTCCCTCAGGACCAGACTTCACATAGTAGGTTTTCAATCAATCAGAAATCATTTAGTGTGTGACTGCCAGGTATTACTATGCTAAGCACTGGGGATATAAGGACAAAATTGAAACAATCCCCAAGGATTTGACATTGTATCTCAGGAGATGGTGCAGTAGATAGAGGGCAGGGCCTGCAATCAGGAAGGACTGAATTCAAATGCAGCCTCAGCCACTTAGTAGCTATGTGACCCTGAGCCAGTCACTTAACCCCATTTACTTCAGTTTCCTCATCTGTCAAATGAGCTGGAGAAGGACATGGCAAACCACTCCAGTATCTTTGCCAAGAAACCTCCAAATGGGGTCACAGAGAGTTGGATACGACTGAAACAACTGAACAACACTACACATTTTAGGTATACCCACACGTATATATGTGCACACATAAGCACATACTGAATAACAGCCAGGGAATTTGGGGGAGGAAGGCGCTCACACGTGGTAAGATCAGAATAGGCCTCCCATGGAAGCAGGCCTGGACCCCTGTGATATCTTCTGGCCATTCAAGTCACCCAGTACTTCTCTCCTACCTGATATCGTTATCCCATCTTACAGTATGTGTTTTCTAATAGCATTTAACATTCAGTATATTCTTAGTATTCTACTAACATTTTCTTTGTTTCTCCTGTACTTAGCATGTTGCCTGGCACACGGCAGGCAGTTAATAATTGCTTACTGAATGGAATTGAATTCTGGGTTATCACTCAATATTATGCCTGATTACTCATCTTCTGGTTTTATTCATTTCTTTTCTCTTTTCCAGGTGATGATTTCGCTCTGCTACACAGCACAAAGCATTCAGACACTGAGTCGTGGCCAGATGTTCTGGTGGACAGACTCACTTCCCTTCTCCCATGAGGAGTGTCTTTGTTTTCAAAGCAGGGTAGCCCAAAGTCACAGACAAAGGTGAAAGTAAAGGACACATACCCAGTGTCTCAGCCCCAAAAGCCAAGAGGATGGGATGGCTGCCTATCCTTGGAGGTCTCTTCGGGCTTCACCTAAGGCAAATATTCCACTGTGCGCATAAGCCAGGGTGTTGTCACGGAGAGAATGACAGCGCTCCTGATTTCTCCTATTCCTGGGAGTCTGCACTGGGTACTTCATAACACTACGCATAGAGGCCCCACACACACTATATCACTACCCAAAGGAACGCAGTATAGTGGGCTCAGTTCTTCCCCACACTGCTCCACACCATTGAAGGAGAACGCAGCTGGGTTTTTCTCTCTTATGTGAGCTGAATGGCTCTTAGCCCTTAGGAAGGCATCCTCCATAATCAGTCAGCAGGGAATGTGGCTGAAGGGATGGTCCCATGGTACCACATAGACCTCTGGCCCTGCCAGAGACACCTCAAAGAATTAGGAAGGGGAGAGGGAGAAAGATTGCTTGCCTGGTACATAGCAGACATTTAATAAATGCTTATGGACAGCTAGGTGGCGTAGTGGATAGAGCTCCTTGGAGTCAGGAGGACCTAAGTTCAAATCTGGCCTCAGACACTTGACACTTACTAGCTGTATGACCCTGGGCAAGGCATTTAACCCTGACTGCCTCACCAAAAAGTGCAAAAAAAGTCAATAATTGCTCCTCGATTCAATCTGTCCTCTGCAGGCAGGGTGTGGTACTTGTGTCCTAAGCCTCAGTGCCAGAATCTGTTGAAAACCAGTGCCTTGTTTAAACCTGGTAAATGAGATGAACCAAAAATCTGTTTCTGAGGTTGAGGGAGAACAGGCCAGACATTAATCCTTCCTAGGTTCTCCTGGTTTACTGGAAAGAGCCTTGACTTTAAAATCAGAGGACCTGGGTTCAAATCCCACTTCCTACTACCTGACTACTTACTTCCTTGGACAAAGGACTTTATCTCTCTGGGTGTCAGTTTCCTTGGAATTGGACTCAATACCTTTTAAGGGCCCTTCTAGTGCTTAATCTAAAAGCTCTCATGAGCCTATATGTTTTCTGCACAAAGGGGAAACGTGTTTATGAGAAAACTGAAATGCAACAATGTGAAAACCTCTGGAGAGGTTTTCAATTTCAGCCGTGGTTTTTCCAAACCTTTTCATTTTTAAACCTTCCCCCAAGTCCACCTCTGTAATCAGACACCCGTGCCTCCTATTTCTCCACCCTCACATTTCAAATTATGTCTTTGCTGAAACAGAAGCCATTCCCCAACCCCTCAGTAGCCAGTGCACTGCCCTCCAAAACCTACCTTGTTTTCAATTTGTATCTACCTTTTTGTGCTTATGCTGTGTCCTTGGTTAGAATGTAAGGTCCTGGAGGACAGAGAGGATTTCATTATGCTTTTGTCTTTGCATTCCTAGCATCATCAGTAATAAGTAATCACTTAGTAAATATTGGCTGATTGGTTGATAAGGTTGTCAGTATCATTCTACTGAGCTTGTGTGTAAATTCTGAGTCACCAAGAACTGGGTCATCTTCTGTCTCTTCTCTCCTTCATCATCTAAGTCTCAGAAGTCAAAGGATTAAGAACAGATGTTTCCTATTATACCTTATAGGTATAGTAGGTAAGAAAAATCATCTCCTATGTCATGTTCTCCTCAGTTTTTAGCTATCAGTTCCACTCTTTCATTTGTTACTTAGTGGTTAGAGCACTACACCAGGAAACAGGACAGCCTAGATTTGAATCCTGACCCTGACAGTTACTAATTGTGTGGCCACGGGCAAATCACTTAACCTCACACAGCCTCAGTTTCTTTATTTATGACATGGGGATGACAATGCCTGTAGCACTAAATTCACCACTGAGGGTCAAATGAGATGATGTAGTTGAATGTTAGTTATCACAAAGGGTGTAACCATTTATGTTTCTCCAAGAATTAATATACTAAACCAGAAAGGAATCAAATGGGCTAGGTTACTTACTGACCTAAGAGTTCACAATCCAGGAAAAAATGTTTAGGAGATCCATTTTAACAAGGGTTCTAGGGTCTGTGAACTTTTTAAAAAAGACACTTTATAATAACTGCATTTCAGTGTAATTGGTTTCCTTTGTAATGCTATGTATTTTATTTGAGACACTTAAAAAACATTATTCTGAGAAGGGTTCCACAGTCTTCACCATTCTACCAGAGGGGTCCATGACACCCAAAAGGTTAAGAATTCCTCTCTTACAGCAATGAGCAAACATCCATCCTTCCCCTAGGAGTATTCTTAGGAGAGAAGATATACTAAAACTTTATTTTATCAAGATAGGTACCCTACCTCTTAACCTTCAAGCACAAATACAACTAACCAGAGCCCTCCCCTAATGCATGTTTTCTTTGCTACACATCTATCCTACCATGATTTTATAGACTCATACAATCTTAGAGTTGGAAGGAACCATTTATTTAATCATAGGACCAAGACCAGCATCTCTCCATTTTACAAATGGGGAAACTGAGGCCCAGAAAGTCTCTATGATCTAATGAAAAAAGAAGTTACTTGCCCAAGATCACATGAAGCCAAGTCTAAAACCCAGGCCACCTGACTCTTTCCACTAGACTAAGGTCGACTTAGTATAATTCTCACATTGTACAGATGTAGAAACCAAGGCCCAGAAAGGATCCAAAGACTCAGTATGAAAACATTTTTTTATTAAGGGAAAAGAATCAATCCTTCACAATAGAGCAGAAGCCTGAGAGGGTTCATTTCAGCACCTGGCCAGAATCAGGAGCCCACCTGTAAATCTCTTGCCCCTTGAGACTTTCTAATAGTCTGACAAGATCTTTCCTTATTTTTCTCCAGGGAGAATCTGGCCACATACCTGGGGAGGAGTTCAGACTCAAGAAACTCGTTTGGTAAATTCAGGGATGTTGCTAGGGTGTCTTAAGAAAAGGGGAGGCTGCTGCTGCTACAAGAGGAATGGCTTGCAGTTCTGTCTTCAGTCTGGAATCTGGAGCTGTGGGTGTTTGTCTCAAGATTAAAGCAGAGCAAATAGCTGAGGTGCACACTGGCTCTCAGCTCTCCTGGGAGGATGACAAGTAAATCTAGTTGCTACCGAGGCTCAGCTGTCCCTGATGCATCTTGGTTTTAGGAAGTGACTCTGAGAATGAATGAATGTTCTGGAGAACAGCGGGGACCCAGACAGTCACCCGCTGAGGCTGTTGTGCTGAGGACAGGCAGGAAGGGAACCCTCACCTTCGTCCCTTGCCCTTGGCCACAGTGAGCCTTCACCCGACTTCGATCTCTGAGGGCACACCACCAGCCTCCTCCAAATGGGCCTTGCTTTGGGAACCAAGCCCTACATAGCTCAGGCTGACATCTCCCCCCACTCACCTACCTTCATTTAGCACTCACCCCCCCTTCCTCCCCTGCTCCCCAGGGCAGGATGCCAGGACCTGGTCTTTATCTTCCTCACCCTAGGGCCTCCTCGCTCATTACAAGAACAGAGCTGATTAACATTGTCTGGCAAGATTCATCCCACTCCCCCTTTTTTAAAGGGAAAAAAAAACCCCACACACACTCCAGTCAAAACTCAACACAAAGAAAAGAGTCACCCTAGTCAATGAAGCAAGACAATAATGATGCACTGTACCTTTAAGGAGTCAGGCTTGGTTCCCTCCTGTGTGTGAGGCAGGAGGAGGCAGGAGGAAGCAGGTTATTCTGGGTTCCCGGCTTACTTACCTAACACTGAGTTAGCCCCTTTCCCCCTCTGGCCAGCCTCTCTTCCACTCTGGGGAGCTTTTACCATTTAAGGTCAATGTTACATCTGGCTCTGCTGGCTGTAAGCTGCTCCCTGCAGGGCCTCCCTCTGCACTCCCAGTCTTGCTGCCTGCCTGCCTGCCTGCCTGCTTGCCTGCCTGTCCTGCCCTGGCAGGGAGCTGGGAGAGAAAGCTTCTAATTCTTCCAAGCCCCTTTCTCCTGTTTCAGGGACTCCTAAAGCCCAGCCCCCCAGGGAGGCTCCAGGAGGCCGGACTGGGCTGGGACTGGACCAGGGTTCCTCTACTGGGGAAGGAAAAGCAGTTACTCCCCTATCCCTTCCCCCTACTCTCCATACACACATTCAGCCTGTTCAACCAGTCCTTAGGGGGCTCTGAGCTCATTGCTCTCCCCATACCACGTCTTGGGCACATCTTCCTCATTCTGGCCACACAAGTGGTTGGTCTGTAAAAGGCGCCTGAAAGGATCCTGGCTCAGAACCAGGCCAAACTTGGAGGGTGTCTTTTCCTCAAAATGCCTATAAGGGGAAAGGGAGGGAGAGAGCCATAGCCAAGGAGGGAAGGAGATGAGGGGGGCTGCAGCATGCCCCTAGAACTCTGGTCCTACCTCAAATCCTCGGGGAGCTCAAGGAGGGAGTTGGCAATGGCTGATCGGTCCCTCAAGAAGCCCAGACCCTTCCTTCCATCATATGGAAACAGATCCAAGCCAAGGCAGCTGATGCTGCCCCTGCCCAATCTGAAAGGGCTGATCTTAGCCTTAGCCTGGCCTTCCCAGTTTACTAAACCCCATTCTCCCTGGGTGTGGCCTGGCTGGGGCCAAAAGCTCTGGAGTTCCCGATCCATAAGAAAAGAGAAACCAAAATGACTGCACAGGTCTTCTATTCACCTGAAAAAATGTTTTTGCCCCTGAGAAGCAGCCTGGACAGTGTTCAACGACTCAGGACTCCCAGCTCCCACTTATATAGTCTATAATGGGAGGGGGGGTATTTTCAAATGCTTAACCAACTCTTCCTCCCCCACCTCACCCCCAAAAGACACAGGATACACTTTATGCTTAAGCTGCATGACAACATTTTCACCATCACTTTCTTAAGTCTAGACAATCAACGAAACAATAAATCAAGCCCTGATTTTCAGTATTTGTCAGTTTCCGAGGTATAAATGTTCACAATGAAAATTTAACAGTTGGCTCTAGAGAGCCTGGTCGATGTCAGTCCGACACATTTGAGTCAGTCCCCAACATCACAGACAGAAGAACTTGCAATATCCAGGCCATAGTGATCTCAGCTCATCTGCCTTCTCTGGCCTGCCCCATGCAGTCACCATTCCCACCAATGTTCCCCATCCTTGTCTCTCCTTTAAAATAATGGGAATCAGACCTGTAACCAGCAATTCTGATAACCAGGAGAAGCAATGCCACGTGCACCAGGGAGAAGGATGAAAGACATTCTCAAAATCAACTTTTAAAGTCACATTCAGTTGGAATAGGGGAGATCTCAGGATGTGACCTTGGTCCTTAGAATACAAGGTCTTTTGGAGGAAAGACTGGGGAAATTGACGGGGTGAGGGGAATAGGAAAGACCTTGGGTTACCATGAAATCACTGATGGAGGGGCCACCACTATGGGATAGAGAGCAGGACAGTCCTAGGGCAGAGAAAAGTTACACTGTGGGGGGAGGAAGCTATGACATGGGAGCCTCTCTTTTAACTAATTTTCTATTAAAATCTAGTATCTAGCTGGATACTAAGTTCAATTAGTTCTAGTAGATCCAGAGCTCTCTAAATTTTGGCTCCCTGGAGCAAAGGCTCGGTCACTCCACCTTAGTTGCAGCTTTGATGGGGATTAAACTTCATAATCTCTGAGGGCCTTCCCAGCTCTAACTATCAGCTGGATACTCTGGAACCTTTGTGCATCAGTCTCCTTGGTTTCTCTCTGCTATGGAGAACTGAGATTTCCTAACAGTAAACTGAGGATCAGTGAGTTCATAGTTTTCAATGCTGAATCCCATTTTTCTGGTATCTACATGACGTCCTAAATTTAATGACTCCTCTTCATTATGCCGTGGTCACTTCTGGTAGAATTCCTCAGAGGCTGACTGAATCTTTTTCTGCCTGACCACCCAAAATCACATTGACGCTCACCTAATCTCAAAAACACACTCGTACATACTAGCACACTAGATCATTTTCAAATGCTCGCTCATGTTCACAAACTCTCACACATCCATACACTCTTTTACAATCATACACCAGCACAGATATTCAGCTACAACCACAGGGAGTCGACATAAGATATAGTGGGTAGAATGCTAAGCATGGAATCAAGAAGACCTGGGTTCAAATTCTATCTCTAATATTTACTGGTTGTAGGACCATGAACAAGCCACCTGAGCCTCAGTTTCCTCATTTGTAAAATGTGGGTGATGATAGGAGCTATCTCCCAAGGTTGTTGTGAGGATAAAATGAGATCATATGCACAAAACACTCTGCAAAACCTAAAGCATTATATAAGCGCTAGCTATCACTATTATTATTATTATTCTCATTCACACGTCACAGAGAACACTCAGGAGACCCAGAACTTGTCTGACCCTTCAGGAATCTCCCAGACTAGAAAGGGACACAGGGTCAGAGCTGACTCTCTGGGACCAGCTGGAGGCTCCGAGGCCTTTCCAGGGACAGAGTAAGGGCAGCAAATGAAGGCAGCACTGGGAGGACAAAGCAAAGCCCCAAGCATCGTGGTGGCTTGTCCAGCACTTGAGGAAGGAGGAAAAATGGGAAGGTGGATCACATCTTCAAATGTCAAGGGAGACAACAAGTTAACCACAGTGAGGCACAGTGTGACTGTCTAATAGCCCATCATGACTTGCCAAAAACCAACACCATATTGTTCCCACCTCTTTTGGTTCTACTCATACGCTGCTGAACCAGCCTGGAGGAAGTCACAAAACCATGCTGATTGTCATTCAGTTGTTTTCAGTCATGGCCGACTCTTTGTGATCCCATTCGGGGGTTTTCTTGGCAAAGACACTAGAGTCGTTGGCCATTTCCTTCTCCAGCTCATTTTACAGATGAAGAAACTGAGGCAAACAGGTTTAAGTGACATGGCCAGGGTCACACAACTAGTAAGTATCTGAGGTCACATTTGAATTCAGGTCTTCCTGACACAGTCCTAAGCCTCCTGAACCCAAATTCTGCTTTTAAGTCTGCTCTGTACCTTTTTCCAGACTGTTCCCTAGGCCTGGAATGTCCCCTCTCTCCCTCTTCACCTGTTGGGTTTCTTTTTTTCTTTGTGTGCTTTGCCTAGAGCATGGAAAGATATGTGGAGGGGCAATAACATGAGAAAAGACTAGAAGTGAAGGGAAGGGCCAGATGGCTTCTTTAGATCTTGCATCAAATTAGGAATTCTCAACCTTTTTTTGTGTCATGGGCCCCTTTAGCAGTCCAGTGAAGACTATAGACCCCTTTTCAGAATAATTTTTTAAAGTCTATAAAATAAAATATGTGGGATTCCAAAGGAAACCAATTATATTGAAACATATTTTATATATGTATATATATATATATATATGCATATACACATGTATATATGTATGTGTGTATATACATATATAGATATAGATATAGATGTATGTATATACACAGACTTATGTAAAAGTCTACAGACCACAGGTTAAGAAGCCCTACCTTATACCATATCTTGCCTCCAGTTTGTAAAGTAAGGGCAGTCATTTTAGAATGGTTAAAGATTTATGCAGCTTTAATATACCTTTTTATTGTTGTTAAGTCATTTTTTCTGTGACCCCATTTGGGGTTTTCTTGGCAGAGAAATTGGAATGGTTTGCCATTTCCTTCTCTGGCTCATTTTACAGATGAGGAAACTGAGGTAAACAGGTTAAAGTGACTTGCCCAGGGTCACATGTATGGTAAGTGTCTGAGGCCAGATCTGAACTCAGGAAGGTGAGTCTTCTCGACTCCAGGCCCAGAGCTCTACCCACTGGGCCGCCTAGCTGCCCCATACCTTTTTATAGAAAAAGACTAATCATGAAGTTGGATTCCTAATTTCTCTCTGTTTTCCATTCCTATGGGAAGTCTGGTTGCTGGATTTATGTACATTCCACTGTTCACTGGAATTTCAGGCTAGGAGGAAATAATCAGTGTCAGCAGGATCTTAAAAATCCAAAACTATTTAAAAAAAATGTTGTAGAATGCATTCATTCATTCACTCCATCATTCATTCACCTCAATGGACATTTATCCCCCTCCTCCACACATGCAAGGCTCCTGGGCACTAAAAACTACAAAGATCCATTTAGCAATTTTTCATTCCTTCTGCAAGCTGGTCTATGCCTAGCAACCAGACACTGCTCTGTCTGGAAATGGAAGACCCTGGCCTGTCAGACCACTAAACTTGGAGTTAGAAGACTTGAGTTCATGTTCTCGCCCTACCATATACCAGCTCCATAACCTTGGGCCACTTTCTTCTCCTCTGAGTTTTCTCAAAGGTAAAAGAAGGATAATCTTTTCCTCTTACTTAACTACTTCACAGGGCTGAATGATAACGTATGAAGATGACTTTAAAATTTTAAAGCTGGATTGTAAACTCCACTGTTGTTTTTGGGATCAAAAACCAAACCCTTTCACAGGCCTCATTCCTGAGAAGCCTCCCTCTCCCCACCCCCACCGCAACAGAAAGTCAACTCAGAATCCTCTAGAATGGTCAGCAGCAGCATGAGAAGAATTGTAGAGCATAGATTTAGAACCTAGAAAGAACTTCTAAATAATCATAGCAGTAGCTAGCATTTTTATAGACCTTAAGGCAGAGGTTCCCAAACTTATTTGGCCTACTGCCCTCTTTTCCAAAAAAAAAAAAAAGTTACTCAGTGCCCACCTGGAAATCTACTTTCTTTAACCGTTTAACGGTTTTTGAAAAAATGTACATCATTTCAAAAAATATAGTTTTTTTAAGTGACACATCTTAAATTTAATTATTTATTGTAAATTTGTGGGCTTTGTCCTGCATTGAAATTTTGATGATGCAATATTGCATTATGTGACTGTATAGTATCATACTGTAAACAAGTCATTACATGCACATATTCCTGCTGATGCATGCTAGACTTCCTGATAATGCACGACATGCTAGCCCGCCAACACTTGCTTGTTAAGACCTGTTGGCAGACTTGACCACTGATCAGTTACAGCTTGCATTTTGTGTGTTTATTTGGAAAATAATGTAATCACTATGACTTAAACTCTGTTACACAACAGACAAAACATGTATGAATGTTTTTTCAAAATGTTCTTCTCTTCTTTCCTTATGCTTCCACTGCCCCTTTATTTTTATCCAACACCCCACAATTGCACCCTAGGCAACTACCACCTCCCTGGATCATTCCATTGCCCCCTGGAGGTGGTATCACCCACTTTGGGAACCTTTGGTTTATTAAAGGTTGGCAAAGGGCTCTACAAATATGATCTCATTGATTCTCACAACAACACTGCATATTATTTT